ATTTACATGCACACTGATTGCTCCCGAAGCAGCAGCACAGGCCAAAGGTCACCCCTATTTATCATTCTGCCAACTGCTTAGAGCTGGCAAAATTCCCATGGTTTTTCATATCAATTCCCAAAATCATTCCAGTGAGAGATATCCAAAGACATATTCAAATTTGATTTCTGATTTAAAATGATACATAGCTATTCACTAAAGCATGCAGAAATGAGTGCTAGAAAATAAAATCAACTGAGGCAGGATTTATGATACAGGAAAACGCCCTGCACTACTCCTTCTAGCATTGCCTGTTCTTAGCTAAAATCCTTGCTTGGTGGAATTCCTGGATTGCCAATGCTTTGGGATCTTGCAAGCAATCAGGGCTTAGGGGAACAGATTCAGTAACAAGCCTGAATTCCCTCAAGATGTTAATAAACACCCCATTGCTGCTGTTCCAAATGAGAATGACAACAATCGCTTACCATTTGACCTGCTTCCCTCCCATGATCCCACTTTAACCTTTCGCCTCACAGAGTCCGTTTCCCGTAGAGCCTCAGGATTCTGCAGGTCCTGGCTGCAGGCATGCCTTCTCCATTCACAAGCTTGGAATTAAGTGCTGAGGATGCCAATTCCTGTCAAACTAACGAAGAAATATTTGCCACTTGGACTCCCTCGCGTGAGCCAAGAGATTCAAAGCAGAAAAGGTCCAGGGTCTTTGCTAGATGTATGGAGATGAATCGGCAGCCCACACACATATATCTGATTACAGAGTCAGAGTATAACGCACTCCAGGTTTTGATTCTGCTGGCTTTCCTTGCTGGTTATTTGTCTTTTGCTGCTGCATTTTGGTCCACCATATGCCCTGGTTGTTTTCATCATGAGAATCTCAATCCGGATTGCAAGTTGTGCTTCTCATCCCATTCTGCCTACTTCAGCGATACAGCTCCTGCTGCAGAGACCCGATTACAGAGTCAGAGTATAACGCACTCCAGGTTTTGATTCTGCTGGCTTTCCTTGCTGGTTATTTGTCTTTTGCTGCTGCATTTTGGTCCACCATATGCCCTGGTTGTTTTCATCATGAGAATCTCAATCCGGATTGCAAGTTGTGCTTCTCATCCCATTCTGCCTACTTCAGCGATACAGCTCCTGCTGCAGAGACCCAGGG